CGTTTCAAACCCGCAAAGCCATATACGTACTCACTATTGAAAATTTTTAAATTTTCTAACTACATGGGGTGTAACCTTCTTTACATTTCTGCACCACCATCCAATACGAGGTTTCCAATTTAGTCTACAACTCTATATTTTGTACTTTAGTTGTTTATTATTAGTTACAATTTAGGGAATTATTTGAAAAATTATTAATAACAGATATTGTCAAGGGACTTCTATACAGGGTGTCTCAGAAATAAGTATTTAAGGGGTGGTAGATCTAGCCGAAAAAACATATTTTCTTTTTACAAGTAAAAATGTGAAGTTGCTATATTTATTTACCGATATTTTGATTAGTTTTGACAGTTAAGGGAATTGTTTTGTGATATTTTAAGCTTAAATTTTTGTACCAGCAGACTTCGCAGTCGAAAATTATTTTTAAGAGCTTGTAGTGCGACGTGAACAAGATGCCGAAGCAGCTAAACAGCCGTTGCAAAAAAATCATACCGTCCTTATTAGAATATTTCGAACAGGAACGCGGTAATAATCAACCTTTATGTCCTTTTTGGGGCTGTTACGAGGTGAGTTTCGTTGATGTAAAAAATAACTGTTTATGTGTTTATAATTAATTCGTTTTTGTTTTCTAAAATTTTTTGATTAACAGAAAATATGTAAAAGTCGGCAACGCTGTGACGGTCAAGCTCAATCACGTGACTAAAAGTTTATTTGGTATATATAAAATGAAATAGTCCTAAAAATAAAAACAATTATTTGGTTTGGTCCAGAATTCCTGGGAAATATTCAGAATTTTTAAACATTTGAGGTGGTACTTTGGTCAGCATGAAATTACGCAACTTTGCCCCATTTAATCGACATTGTATACCTTCTAGTTTCGGAGATCTCAGTAATGTTGCTCGAATTTGGGACACCTCTTGTAGAATGTGGAATGTAAAATGTAAAATGAGTAAGAAGGGGGTTAATCACTGCGACCTTAAAGATCTATTGTGTCCCCCTTCCTTGAGTCATCACATAGTCTATAACCCATCATACCCCTGTTGTAGAGGGGACAGGGTATTTCCCAGCCTCCTCTGACAACAGTTCTTCCTCCGAGGGTCCACACCATGACCCTTCCGGAGGACCTGACCATGACCCTTCCCCCTCGGGTTGATGACTCGCCAACTCGATGTCCTTACATTGAAGTTCTAACCCTGAATAAGGCTCAGCAGGTAGGAGGTGTCTTTCCCTTTGCTCCTCGGCAGAAAGACCGTGATGGCTGCCTCTTTAGGGATGTTTTCAACCTTTACTGCAACCAGTTCCGGCCCTTGCCAATTTTTAAGCTTAGGTGCGATTTCCATCAACCAATTCGCTTGATATACACAATCTATGATGATCATGCCCAACCGAAAGTGTATCCCCGCAAAACACAGACCCACATTTTGTAGATCGTTGTGTTGCGATGCGATCGCCACTACTTCGTCCAGTATAGCCTCTTCTAGAGACGTTTGCTGGTCGGTGGTCAGAGCAACCTCTGGGAAATCCTTTGACAGCACCGCCATTTTCACTTGTCCAGCAATAGTGTCAAAGCTGGTGATACGTCCCTGCTTGCCTCCCGGTGTTGGACGGCTTTCCTTCCTGGCTTTTTTCTCTCCCTGTCGGAGAAGAGGTGAGAGGTTTTCGCTCCCTCTCTTGCCCTTTAATGGAGATGAGTCAGGCTGTTTCTTGGTTTTTTTACTCTCCCCTTTTCGGAGGAGTGTTTTCATTTTTTTGCTTCCTCTGGAGCAAGTCCTTCGTGGAGCAGTCGGAGGTATCTCCGTGCTACTACTCCGCTAAGACCTACTCTCAGAGGATCGTCTAGCCCGCCTGGTTGACCCAGGCCGGGTAGACGAAACGGTAGCTTGTGTCGCTTATTGGATCTAGAGGTAGACTCCCGACCCTTGCTGGAGAAGGTGGTAGCTTGTGTGCCACTGGAGGATGATCCCAAGCAAGAAAAAGTGATCCCATGAAAGTTCCAAGGGACCAATTTTAAGGAAACTACAAGAGGGGCGGCAGACCCTCTTGTAGTTTCCTTAAAATTTGTCCCTTGGAACTTTCATTTGTAAAGTTCCCAGTGTCGCTAGGAGGCTTCCCCACAGCTTCACCGGTGGTGTTTTTAATGCCAGATCTCATAGTGTTCCCACGGGTGGCTAGGGATAGTCGGTCCACTTCTACAGAGCCCCGTATGTAGAAGTAAGGGGTAAATACAATGGGGTGCCCCCTGATGCCCCAAGGTTTATTTTGGCACTCATTCTTTGACTAACCCCGAATATTATTTTTCTAAATATAAAAATGTTAGCGCTAAGTCATATTGTTACGCCACTGGGAGCGTGTGGCGCATGTATCGTCCACATACGAATACCTTCCAGAGTTTAATAAAAACGTCAGGGAGTAGAAGCAACTGGCAGGGGCTGTTCTTGGGAGGGATGAGGGACACAGAGGAGGATGCTAGTCTGGTTTCGCCTCGATATTATATAATATTAATATACGAATAATGTAAAGAGGTTTTCTCTTTCTCTAATGTAAATGTGTATCTAGCTGGGGAAAATTGATATAATATACGTAAGAGGAGTTTGTTTACTGTTTTCGAACGTCCTGTCAATCACTAGTCTGTACGGGGTGGTCCAGTTTTTCCAAAAATGATTCTTATCCATATATTTAGTAATGAAGCCTACAACTATAGTAGTGCATATTTTAAATACATTATATTTTGAAACTAATTGAAAAGTCTTTGTGATAACAATATCACAAGCGATTGAGTTAATAACTACAGCGTGTTTATAAATTGGGTAGCTGAGGATATTTAAAAGAATCGACTTGTTAACGTAATGTCTATAGCAGCGGCTGGTAGAATTTTGATGTACCTACTATATCTCTGGCTCGATATACGGGGTGAGTCTAAAATAAGTGCAAATATTGTCAGGGCTGGTAGATCTCGATAAAAGAAACATATTTTTTCTTTACCATTTTTAAAATAAGTCCAAAATAACCAAAATATAAAAATAAATTATTTTACTTTGAAAGGAAAAAAAATGATTTTTTGCTCATATTTTGAGAAGTACTGTATTTTTTTCTAATTTTTTTTTTTTAGTAAATTTAATCTACTACATATGTTGTGATAATACTTGGTCGGAGGTGGATCGGTCACTTCCGGTTTCACCGGAAATGACTACAACTTTTGATTATTAAATGGCACCCTCGGTAATTTTTTACTTTATTCGATAGAAAATTACACTCTGAATAGAATGACATATCATATGTCAACTTTTGACATTTTCGCATATGGTTTATTTGAAATTATAACTTGCGGTTCGTAACGAAAATTTGACTCGGAATACCAAGTGTGTGGTATCAAATTATTCGTAAAAAATGCTTTTTCCAAATTATGCTAATGAACCACGCTCGTTCCATTTGAAAAAATTGAGATATGATTAAAAATACGATTTGAGCATTTTCTAACTGGCTAACTGGCTAACTGGATAAGACATTAACAACATTAGACGATCCAATCTATTTTTCCAAGGCTCCTTGATTAATAATTAATATTTTTTAACATAGCCATGGCACTCTATAATTTTTTATTAAGCGAGAATGTCAAAAGATGACATATGATATTATGTCATTCTATTCAGAATGTCATTTTCTATCGAACAAAGTAAAAAAATATCGAGGGTGTCATTTAATAATTACAAGTTTTAGTCATTTCCGGTGAAACAGGAAGTGACTAAAAACAATTAAATAAGTCAATCAATCCTAATTTATGTCATATACTAACATACCAAATCTCGTTTTTGTATTTGAAAAAATAAAAAGTTATAGGGGTGAGCCACTTTTGATACGCATGCGGTATGCTTTTGGACTAAATCAAATATTGCAGCATCTATGTAACGCTAAAAGTAAAAGGGTCTTCTATTTTTTGGAAACTTTGTCTACAAGGGTATATTTATTACAACATCGTTAAACAAGGAAATTAGTAAACTAATTTGCCGTCAAGGGATTCGAAATACAACCCCTCGCTTCACAAAGAAGAAAAAAAAGAAACGCTTTTAACTCGCTCTATTAAAAAACTGAAAAAATGAGCGCCACTTAATTGATGCTTCATTTTTTAATTAACGTAAAAATAACAATTTACCGCTCTTAAAATTTCAAATTAACTTTTTATTGTGTAAGCAAAAACATAATTAACTTTATAACGTGGAAAGACTAATACGTGGCGAATGCGCAAAAGAAAGAAAAAATTCAATTTTTGAAGTAATAAAGCGAAATAGGCAGTCGTTTTAATTAAAAATTTGAAAAGTTTTCCGCTTTTTTTTTTGTGTGTTGTTTCAGCGGAAGGCTAAGTAATTTGCCGTAGAAAAAATAGCGATACGAATTTAGAGAGGGCCACTTAGAAAGTTTGCAAAACGAGCTATTTTTGAGAATGAACAAAATTAATTTAATTGAGGTTTTATTATCGAAAAAAAGGATATGATATTCATTTATTTGGAAACCATCTGAGATAAAGAAAAAAATTATTTTAAAATTTTATTTTTAGATATTATTACTTTTTACGTTAATGAATAATTCATAATATGTCATTCTGAAATCAAATTAATTATGAAGTTTATGGTTGCTAGGATAATTGTTATCGCTTCAGTGTTAAGATTAAATCACGTGACTTACTTTTAGCACCAGTGCTAAAAGTAAATGACTTTTACCATTAGTGACATAATGTCACATTTTAGGCACTGACAGCAGGCGTTAAAAATTACATTTTTACTTACGTTTGTAGAAAAAAATAATTTTTTAATTGCATTTTTTTAACAAGTAAAAAAAATCGGTACCGAAAGAACCGAGTATTTTTATTTCGAGTCCCGGTTCTTTGACGTCTCAAAAGAATACCGGTACTGGAAATCGCGGTACCGAAAGTACCGGGAATTCCCGGTTCTGAACCCTAGTATTACTGGATATTATTCAACATAACTTTATGTTCTTTTTTTCAGATCAAGAACCGGCCTAACGGCCCTATGATGACGATGGACGTGTCCAAAACCGAGGGTGGTACAAAGACCGCTAACTCGAGCGCATCACCTCAAGAATGCGCTGGATGCTGCAAGCCCATCACCGAGCGCTACCTCCTCAAAGCCCTCGACATGTTCTGGCACGAGGACTGCCTCAAGTGCGGTTGCTGCGACTGCCGGCTGGGCGAAGTCGGATCGACGCTCTACACCAAAGCTAATTTGATACTGTGCAAAAGGGACTATTTGAGACTGTTCGGCAACACTGGCTATTGTGCGGCCTGTAGTAAAGTTATACCGGCGTTCGAGATGGTGATGAGGGCGAGAAGTAACGTGTACCATTTGGAGTGTTTCGCTTGTCAGCAGTGTAATCACAGGTAAGTCAAAGCTCAATAGTTTTGAACAATAATTAATTTTAATTAATTGTCTGACTATAGTAATTGTCCGATACTATAATCTAAATGATTGTTCTTCTTCAATATTAGTCGAAGGAATAGTAAAGTACTCTTTTTTAAAATTATAAATTAATTTGAAACTCCAGTTTTGTAAGATTTGTTGGACGTTTCTCTCGCCAACAAGGACAGATCGATGTCATTGTAACAGTTTCCTTTTTCGATACACACTTAACTAAAATACACGTCACTGTGCTGCCTTACTTGTACATCCTATTATAATAACAGCTAAATTAACAGTCCCCATTTCTAACACATTATTTTCATCACAATTTGAACCATTTTATTAAAAAAAAACTTTGAAAAGCGCACATTACTTTGAATACCTTTCTGAATGAATAAATGTTGAGAATAATTGTCTCTTATCGCTACTTTACGAACTACTTTTAATCTAAGAAAATACATGTTTCCCTCAACAATTTAAATACGTATTTTGTTTTGTAACGTTTTAGTTCGTTACATGTCTTTCATATATAATGTATGATGTCTGGTGTATCATCACCGGAGTCCGTATCGCTAAGGCCTGATAATTTACTTGACGCGCCTGGCGTAATTTTTACGTTCTCTAGTCAGCAACCCTGTTATCGTTTCACTGCTTCTGTGGAGGGCTGTCAAGATCGTTTCAAGGCGCCTCTCTGCGCTTTAACCTCACTTTTGGTCACTCGGCTTTTTTAGAAATGGTAATTATTTAAATCTTGCTGCATAATCTGAATCAGTTGCTATTTCGAAGCTACAGGTAAAGATGAGATATTATACATTTTAGATTCGATATTATTACTGCATACTTTCAGGGTAGAGTTTGGGATTAGCCTCAACCTTAACTCGTATTTGGTGTTTGCTGGCACATTGGTTTTCTATGTCCTCCAGAATGTCAAATGGAAGAAAGGACAGTTTCTGTGTTTATTATTAAGCCCTCGGAAGTATTTCGAGGTAGGTTTATTTTGTTTATTAGACCTTGTTTGGTTTTAAACAAGAGTTTCATATATTTTTAGGGTCCAAGGTATGGGCAGGTGTCCCGTATAATATGTATTGATTCCAAGGTACGGACTGTGTCCAAGTTACGGATATTATCTTATGGTTGGATGTCTAAGGTATGGACGGATGTTCAAGGTACGGGCATTATCCAAGGTCCTAGTAGTGTTCCAAGGTACGGGTAGTGTTCCTATATACAGATTTCCTATGGACAGGTGTCCCATGTACGAGATACCACAGTATGGATGTGGCGTAGGCCCCATGCTGCTTTGTTCCTGTTTTTAAGCCTAGTCAATAGTTACGGCTGTATTGGTTCATGGTGTCCTCATCCTGGCCCCTTTTGTTGCATTGGCCGAGAGAGAGTACAGAGATACGAGTCCCACCTCACGCTGCTACTCTTTGAAACAGGATTGCTTTAAGAACAAACAGCTAACTTTAGATTTAATTTCTGGTTTTTATGTGTTACATTTTCAGTCTTAAAACAGTAAAGTACATCTTAAATAATATCGTACAGACTTTACGTTTAGTGGTTAAATTGTTTATGTCAGAATTTTGACAGATGAATAACCGAACCGATTCTAGAATCTACGGGTTGCAACATCTCAGATTTAACATCGTATAAAATATAACAATTTAAATAAAGTAATGCTACTTTTTATATATTTTCTATAGCTTTATCTATATTGTACTTTTCCATCGAGTTTCATTGAACATATTTAATATTATTTCTAACGTAACTTTCTTTGACATATAACCACTATGATTATTAAAATTCTACAATGTTATTTACCATCAAGGAACATCATGAATAAATATAGTCATTAGTTTTAAGTATTATACAACTGTGTTTTCTTTCTCTATACATGCCTGGCGCCCAATATATATTTTTTTTGTTTATTGTTATTGATTAGTTTTCTTTCCAGTGAAATACCTTATCCACGACTGCTCTCCAATGAAAAGCTGCCGTTCGCAGTGGTAGTGGTTTAAAAAACGCTATAGTTTTTTCGCTATTTTTTCGATGTATTTCGACAATGCCATCAACAGTCCAACCGTACGCCAAAAGTGCCGCATGTCAACTGGTTCTTTGAGGCGCCGGCGCCGCGCAGTTTCGTTTAATGATACCATTCTGCCGAAACTGTGATACTGTTGTAATGTGCTTTTAAATGTTTATTAACTACTAGCAATTTTAAGTATACAGGGTTGGTCATAAAGTTCTGGCACAACAAATTTTATAATTTTATTGCATATTTATACAATCTTTCCTTTATTAACTGAAACTGAACATATCGAAATGAATGAAATCAAATTGTTTAAGTGATATGTTCAAAAGTCAATAACTCGGAAACGGTTGAAATATGCAATAATATACAAAGGGTTCTATTTAAAAAAAAATGAAACCTTGATGTGTCACGACTTTACGACAGACCCTATATACATGAATTTATTACTCGCCCAATAGACATTTAAAACCCTATAATTTTTGTATTTAACTTTTTGGGGTACCTTGTATATTTTACCTAATAATCGACTGTTTCCATACATAACATCGACCCTGTATATTATGTTTTATCACTGTGACCGATGATCTATACGAGAGTCAACTAGGGATTTTAACAATTTTTGTTTTGATGGTATCAAATGCCTTTTCGTCTAACACTAAAATTAACGGTCTGTTGTATTCGACCGATTTCAAAATATATCATTACTTTAAATATTTTATATGGATAATCTAAATTAAAGAGAGAAAAAGATAATTATTTTATAGTAATGAAGAAATAAAAACAAGATTCCCGATAATTACGCTTGTACACCTAATTTTAGTTGAATCTGTGACAGCGTTTGTGTATCACAAGTATATTAAGTTAACACTATCCGATTACTCGTAAAGGCATACGTAAACCTCAGTTAAAATTCGATGCATTCAACTCGAACTAATAGAGGCAACCAACACCAGTGTAAAACAATCTCAGTAATTTAATCGGCACCATGTCGTATCGTCTCGTTTACGACTCTTGTATCAAACGAAACACTCCACATAGTAGTGCACTTTAGCGTGTACGAGTTTCCCTCGTCGTCGTATCAAACGAAAGGATAATTTTACCAAATGTTACAGACAATGTTTATCTCGGTATTAATTACAGGTGTGCGTGTAGAATATGACGTTTCTGTTTCGTCGATTCACCAGGGTACGATTCAAAATAAATATTTTCAATGGAGAGTGATCCGAAATTAAGTGTTGTATAAATGCCTAGATCATATATACTTACGTGGATAAATCAACGCCATAAGTTTAGCATTAAAAAATATGTCCCTAACATCACGACATGCCATTTTCAAACCTTCTTTATTGCACTTATGAAACGTTCAATATGTTTGTCTTTCTCGAGGACCTTACTTTGCGCATGCGCATTAAAAATTGCACGTTTCCAAAATAATCACAATTTTATACGGGTTAGAACTTTGAATAAGAAGACTAAGGAAGAAGTATTCATGCATGGTGGGCGGAAAAAGGACTCTAGGGTGGGGATCCTTGACAGTTCTGTTTGACGATTCGTTTGACACATTTGAATTTGATTTGAAATTTTGTGGATTTGTCAGTCTTTACGGGGCTTATTTTATGTTATTTATTATTTATTCTACTACTGATAGTTGTATAAAGGTAGTAGATCTAGATGGAAATTGTGGCAGAACTTAAAATAACAGTGACACTATCGCGATTTATCGAAAAAGACTCTAAAATAGTTGGTTGTGGTAGATCTCGGCAAAAATCGAATGAAATAATGGAACAACTTTTCGCTAGTAAGTGACTATGTAATATACATACGTGTAATAAACCGATCATTTATGAAATTCACTTAAATTAACTAATTATATATTTTTTCTTGTATTTTTGCTTTTATTTACTACTTGTCAAAGATTAGATGTCAAAGAATTTAGATACGTCAATTTGACTTACCTGCTTCAGTATGGCTTCAGTAGCGTATCGGATGTTTATAGTTAGAAATAATTATTATAACTTATCTATTTTTATTAGAATTTTATATTTTTATAACAATTTTAATAACTACCAACATTTATTCACAACGTAAAATAAATAAAAAAATTATAGAGTCTACCACACGTCTACCCCCAGAACGGTAAACTAATAGGATTGCTCATCCTCATAAGACGCACGTTCGCCTCTTCCCGCGCTTCAGCTGACAGTTGTGACGTCATTGTAGTCCTTGTCAAAGCCTTCGTGGCCTTGTCATGATAGTGTGTATTATTAGTTGCCTATGGTAAACTTATAAAAATAATAGCTGAGAAATTTTGAGTTAATTATATGTTGTCAATTTTAAATGTGAAAAAGGTGTCTTTAAAGTTTTTAGAGCTATAGAGTGTATAAATACGTTCATTTTGTGTTGTGGATTGTGACAAAGTGCATACTAAGTGCCCACGATTTTGTTTAATAATTATTTTAAAGCAAAATATGGAAGTACTCTAAAAAGAATGCTTTGAAAAGGTGATGCTGGGAACTGCTGTTCTTAAAAATGCATTATCCGAGTATTTAATACGATTTATCCAGTTAATTTTCTATACTGCATACATATAAGGTGTTTAAATAAATAAACTAAATAATGAACGTTTTGCATTCGGCAACCAATAATGCACGTGTGTGTATTATTGGTTGCCGGATAAGGACTAATAACCATGTCAAGGACTACAATGACCTGGCGGACATGGGCACATATGCACCTGGCGGACACTTTTGGCTGAATGAGCAGTCCTATTAGGTTAACTGTTCTTGCGTCTACCCTACATCATAGTTTTACATTTTTTAAATAAAATTAGAACGGCACTGATAAACCGGAATTTAAGTCCGCCATATTTGAGGCCCATCGCGGTGGACTTAAGATTTTTGATATGCTCCTTCCTTAGTCTTCTTATTCAAAGGGTTAGAAAGTACAAATTAT